AATTCAGCAAGTGGTAAATACCTTTCCCACGATCCTTTGTATTCAATAACACAAGCTCTTAGCATATCCTCCAGAATTTGAATAGTTCGCTCGGATTGACCATTGGTTTGAGGATGAAACGATGTACTGAAGTTTAACCGAGTTCCCAATGCTCTATGTAATGACTTCCAAAACCGTGATGTGAATCTAGGATCTCGATCAGAAACTATGGAAATAGGTACACCATGCAACCGTATAATCTCTCTAATATACAATTCATCATACCTATCCATGGAGAAATAAGTTCGTACTGGAATAAAATGGGCTGACTTAGTCAATCTATCCACTATTACCCAGATTGAATCCTTTTTGTTCAGAGTTAAAGGCAAACCCGCCACAAAATCCATCGTTATGTTTTCCCATTTCCATTGAGGAATTGAAATTGGTTGTAACAATCCTGACGGAACTTGATGTTCAGCTTTGACTTGTTGACAAGTCAAACACTTTGATACAAATTCCGAAATGTCTTTCTTCATTCCCGGCCACCAATATCGACTCTTAAGATCTATATACATTTTGTTCCCTCCCGGATGCATTGTCAATGGACTACAATGAGCTTCCGTTAACAAATCATTCTTTAATTCATCATCATCCGGAATTACTAATCTTTCTTGATAATACAAATTCTCATCAGACTTAATCTCATAATCCGTACCCTCTCCATTCTTTATTTGTTGCATCCTCTTTAAACACTTTTCATCTTTAACTTGCAATTATTTAATTCGATTTAACCAAACGGGCTTGACTGTCAATTCTGCACAAATTGCATCATCTTCTCTTAACGATAATCTAGCATCAAGAGTTCGCAAAGCTGCAAACGTCTTTCGACTCAAGGCATCAGCTACCACATTTGCCTTTCCAGGATGGAAATCAATCACCACATCATAATCCTTGAGAAATTCCACCCATCTTATTTGTCTTAAATTCAACTCTTTCTGAGTCATCAAGTATTTTAAGCTCTTATGATCCGTATACAAGTAGCACTTTTCACCATACAAGTAGTGACGCCAGATCTTTAAAGCAAACACTACTGCCGTCATCTCTAGGTCGTGTGTTGGATAATTTTTCTCGTGCGGTTTTAGTTGTCTCGAAGCATAGGCTACCACTTTGCCTTCTTGCATTAATACGCATCCCAAACCACTATGAGACGCATCACTATACACTATAAAAGTTCTTTCCAGACTCGGGTTGAACTAACACTGGAGCTTCTGTAAGAATCTTCTTTAACTTTTTAAAACTCTCTTGACATTCTTGAGTCCAAACAAATTTTACTTCCTTTTTCAACAGTTTAGTCATGGGTAATGCTATAATCAAAAAGTTTTTAACAAACCTTTGATAATAACCAGCTAACCCCAGAAAACTTCTAACTTCCGATACATTCTTTGGAACTTTCCACTCCAGAATAGCTTTAATCTTTTGGGGATCCACTCGAACTCCTTCTGCAGAAATTACATGTCCAAGGAATGCCACTTCATTCAACCAGAATTCACATTTAGAGAATTTAGCATAAAGCTTCCTGTCTCGTAAAGTCTGTAAAATAATCTGTAAGTGTGAACTATTCTCTTCTTTTGACTTTGAATATATTAAAATATCATCAATAAACACCACAGCAAACTGATCCAAATACGGTTGGAAAATTCTGTTCATTAAATCCATAAAAGCAGCTGGTGCATTCGTAACTCCAAACGGCATCACGATAAATTCATAATGACCATATCTTGTTCTAAACGCCGTTTTCGAAATATCTTTTTCTTGAATCTTTAATTGATGATAACCCGAACGTAGATCAATTTTTGAAAACACTGAAGCTTCCTTTAATTGATCAAATAAATCGTCGATTCGGGAAAGTGGATACTTGTTCTTGATGGTCACTTTATTGAGTTGTTTGTAATCGATACAAAGATGCATTGATCCATCTTTGTTCTTAACAAATAGAACTGGAGCTCCCCAATGTGATACATTTGGTCTAATAAACCCTTTGTCCCATAACTCCTTTAATTGAATCTTTAATTCTTGTAATTCCTTTGGAGCCATTCTGTATGGTGCCATTGCAATGGGCGTTGTTCCTGGTATTATCTCAATCTGGAATTCTACCTCTCTGTCAGGAGGTAAACCTGGCAACTCTGCAGGAAATACATCGAGAAACTCTCTAACTATAGGAATCTCTTCAATCCCTTTCTCCTTGGTTCTAACATCCAGTACATTAGAAATAAACCCTTGACATCCCTGTAGCAGTAACTTCTTTGCAGTCATCAATGAAATCACACTTGCTAATGGATTTCATCTTTCACTAAATACAATAACTTCTATTCTTTCAGAACTTCTCAACGTTACTCTTTTCAATCTACAATCGACATTAGCATAATAAAGATATAACCAATCCATCCCCAGTATCACTTCGAATTCGTCAAAAGGTAATTCCATCAGATTAGTAAGAAATTCAATTCCCTGAATCCGTATGGGACACCCTCGGCTCACCATATTTACCTGAGCACTGTGCCCTAGTGGATTTGTCACTATTACTTCATTACTAGTAGTTTCTAAAGGAATGTTCAATTCTCTTACTAACGTACTAGTAATATATGAATATGTAGATCCCGGATCAATCAATACAATAACACCTTTGTCGAACATTAGAAAGATACCTGTTATAATATCTGGGTCATCACAATCCTCATTGGTCTTGAGGTTGTACACTCGAGCAGTTGAGTGTATCTCCTGTTGAGCAGAGGACTCTGACTGACCTCTTCCTCTGCCTCTACCTCTTTCCCTCTGGGCTATTGAAACAGACCTCTCTGGCTGTACAGATTCACTGGTTAACATTGGACAATCTCGAACGAAATGTCCGGCGTCTCCACATCTAAAGCAGACTCTAGAAATCATTCGACATACCCCTAAATGATTCTTTCCACAATACGGGCATTGTCTAGCTTAACTCTGATTAGTTCTCCCAGCTCCAGATTCCATTGACTGAGTTTGTCTACCTCTCATTTGATTTGATCCTCTAGCGGAGGATGCCACTGATTCTGATCTAACCTGGGGTCGAACACTAGCATCTTTGCCCCTTTTTGATGGTGCGGAACTCGAAGAAGCACCCGATCTTTTGACTGTCTGAGATCTCGAATTTTCAAATCTCTCGTTCTGAGCTCTTTCCAGAGCCTTGGCACGGTTAACTACTTCTTGAAATGATGATAAATTCAAGACAATCAACATTTCCTTTAACCGATGACGTAAACCCTCTACGAACCACTCACAAACATCATTTTCAGTAGGAACTAGCTTGGCAGCAAAGCGGCTCAATTTATTGAATTCACACTCGTACTCATATACAGTGTGATTACATTGCTTCAAATTCATGAACTCTTGCTTCATTTGACGAACAAATTGATCTCCAATGTACTTATGCTTGAATTCTTCTAAAAATAATGACCAAGTTACTTGGGCATTAGATATCCTCAATGTAACATTGGTCCACCAGATCATTGCTTGTCCTCTCAACAAGGAAATTACTCCATCCAGCTTCTCAGCATCGGAACAATGAAGTCCCGTAAGCATGACTTTCATGTCATTAAGCCAAAGGTCCGCAGTAACATGACCTTCATTGGCTTCCCCTTTAAACTCTGGAGCTCCTAATCCCTTCAACTCTTTCGCAACATTAATTTTTAGAGTTGAAGTAACAGGAGGTTGGAAACGCGTCAATACCGCGTCTAACGTTCTAAAGAATATATCTTGATCATTAACAGGCATTCCAGAGGATGTCTGTTCTTCACTCTGCCTGGCCAGGGCAGGTGAATTACTACTTTTAGCGGGTCTATCGTTTCCCGCTTCATTTCTAGATCTACTTTGTTCGGACATCTATAAAAATACAACAATATAGTTCTATTAGCAAAACAACATACTTACTATTCCATCAGATCAGAAGTTTCCACTATTTTGTTGGCATGTATACCTTATAAGATACTCTAGACTTCGGTTTATGCCGAGAATCGACTAAAACATAGCTCTGATACCATTAAATGTAACACCCTTAACTCATATCCGACCTGAATACAAGTCTGAGGTGTCACATTGACTTTTCAAAACCTTGACTCTTATAGAAAATCCCGGGAATTTTTAAAACTTTCATTAAAACGAAACACATTAATTTACATAAAACCATAAAATACAAAATCGATCAGAGTATTCGTAATTAACACTTATTACATGCCAACACTCTATACATAACCAAGTACATACTTTGTCAATTACTTCTGATCTGATCTCTTAGTAGTATTGTTGTCCGTGCTACTTCTATTTCCACTTTTCCTGATTCTTGGTACCTACGTGTAAATCACTTACACGCTAAGTCATAGACTTAGTGAGTCAATAAATGAATATGCAACAATAAACTTATGAATGTTCATACTTACAATTGGATCATGACATTTCAATATGCATGTATCTATCGCACGATAACATATAATGCACATACGAAACTTACCTTCTTGTATCACTTTCACTGTAAATTGGTATTTCAATTGCATATCCCATGTATATTATTGAGATTAGAGGTATATGAGTGCATTGAGGTTGTGCACTAATGATGTCACCACAGCTCGTATCTATTCCCTCATGGGGCACCGAACCTTAGTTCAGTATTCGTCCCGTAGGACTCCTACATCCCGAAGGACAATGTCCCGAAGGACTTCTCCTTAAGAACCACATACATAATACAATGGCTCCAATCAGTGTACCGAAGTACCACATATAGATTCCACATAATTATATATATGTCCCGAAGGACCACGTAGAACCCTCGACTCTTGGCATGCCAATTACACCTATAGTTCTCATATCGTATACTATGGACATTATTCTTATTTTTCATATGTTCATGTACTCATGTCATTTCTCTTGTGATCATGTAGCTCATGTCATTTCTCTTGTGATCATGTAGCTCATGTCACTTCATATCATGTTCTCATATCACATGTCATATCACATGTCATATCACATGAACATATATATGTCTTATGCATGTATCACAACAATTATCATGTATGAATGTTCACAATTATTATATTATAAAAATCAACATAGGGATTAGACTTATCACAAGTCTTATTCCATTATAATACACATATAGTATGCACTTACCTTAGCTTTGCTTTGATTCGATTCTAATCCTTTGATCGTTCCAGAATAAGCTTACTTTTAGTATCTACATAATCACACATGGATCTATATCAGTATTATAACTAATATACTCTAATGGTTCACTCTTTAGACTAAGAGAAAAGTCAATTTCATCTTTTAATGAAGGTATGCATCGATGCACTACTGATGCATCGGTGCATAAAAGGTATTCGATGTAGTATTATTGCTGGGATGCATCGATGCACTCCTTATGCATCGATGCACCGATTGCATTCGATGTTTCACTATTAATGGGATGCATCGATGCACTACTTATGCATCGATGCACGAATTGCATTCGATGTCTTTATTTTAAAAGAGTGCATCGATGCACTACCAATGCATCGGTGCACATTCAAACAATTTCTGGGTTTTAACCTTGATGCATCGATGCACTATGAATGTGCATCGATGCACTCTGCCCAGAACCTCTTTTTGAACCCGAAAATCCATTCATTTTGGATAATCCTTCATGTTTAATCCCCTATTTCACTCTTAACTCTAGTACACATCCTTAAACCAATTTATACTCATTTATTTCATCTTTAACCTTCAAATCCTATCCTTCATATGAAATTCAAGAATTACATCAATAATCCAACATGTTTGAATTCCACTTTTAACACTTCATATATCTTAACTAGATTGATGACAAGTCAAATTTAACTTTCAATTCTAGTTATGAACTCTATTCCAAGATTTCATTTAAGAACTTCAAATCTTAAATCTCTCCTAACTCCATCATCCTTTGATGTTAAGATAACTTAAGTTTTCCTTAAGCTTAGTTATCATCTAATAATCAAAACCCAATATTAAATTTAACAAGAAACTCAATAATCAGAAATCTTACCTTTGCTTTGGTTCACACGCACAAGGAAGAAAGAAGAAGAAGATAACTATGGAAGGCTTTGGTGTTCTCTTCTTTTCATCCCACTTGTACTCATATATATCCTTATCCCTTATTTAATTAATTTTCCTTGCAAATGACTCTTTTGCCCTTCCACTCCTTCTTCCTTTCAATTCAATCCTACACAATCATTTACATATAAATCTTTATACTATTCATTCATTCTATTTTAATCACCAAAATCTGAAACTTTCCAATTTAGTCACTAACACGGTATTGAGGATGTTACACGAAGAGTGTACAATTTCCTCTTAAGGAAAATTTTATTGTGCAACGATGTGGCCTCGTACAATTTAGTGAGATAATCCCATATCCCCTTAGCTGTCTTCTTCTCCTCGATGCTTGACAATACTTCATCTGCTAATGCTAGATGAAAGTTTATCATAGCATTTCCGTCCATCTCGTTCCATTTGCTGTCATCTGCGAAATCCATCGGCCTTTCATTGATAGCCATTAGACACCCGTCTTTCCTCAGGATGGCCTTCATCTTTAATTTTCACAGTGAGAAATTTCTCCCATTGAATTTTTCAATATCAAATTTTGTTGCCATAGCTTCTATTATTGATAGCTCTCACTATTTCACTATCGTGAATAGTTCTTTAAAACCTCAAAGAATGGGTAATACCTTCTTATTTTCTTATGTTGGAGGATCCACCTTTTGGTGGCAACCACAAAGACAATAAGCAGATATTACACACTTAAATCTGGCTCTGATACCAATTGTTGCGGAAGACGGCTATCGGATAGAGCAAAATCGCAACTGATAATTTGAGAAAATAAAAATGAAGATAAAAGAGACATAAAATTTATGTGGAAACCCCCTGAATAATATAGGGTAAAAACCACGGGCAACGGTAGAAGAATTTCACTATGAGAAAATAGGAATTACAACCTCTCTCGATCTACCAAGAAAAAACAATGATAATTCTCTCTAGATAAAAAAGAGAAAACAACTCTCAAGAAACTCTCTAAAATCTCTCTAGTATTGGAAGAAAGCTAGAATGCTTTGGGATGGTTTTGAAGCTAAATGAGCTAGGGTATTTATAGTTGAAGCTTTAAGGACTAATTTGTAAATACCCTAAATTACAATGACTAATTGCATAGTTTTACCATCCAAAATTTTCAACAATTTGGTGGCCAAATTTGACCAATTTTGCCACCCCATTAATGCCACCAAATTGACACCCATAATGTTGACAATTGATGCAATTTGGTGTGCCAATTTTCAACACCGAAGGCTGCTCAGTAGCTGGGAGCATTCTCATTGGGTTCTCCCACATTCTGTTTTGCTTCCTAGAAGAAGACTGACTGTTGACCGTGGCTAAAGCTTTTCTTGAGTCTGACTTTTTTTATGGTCCTGTTACCTAACTTTAACGCTTCATACATTTTGCTCTTCGAAGAAAGTGAAGTTTTCTTGTCTTTATGAAAACAGGTTCAGAGAAGCTCCTTTCTTGGACCAGATTTCAGGAACTCTTGCAAGAGTTCTGGACTTCTCGAAGCATCATCTGAATGGCCATTTTTCTCTGGAGTACTTTGCACGCTAGAAGAAAGACTTCGTATGCCAGAAACTGCATCATCGATTCACAAATATATTAATACTCAATTTTATAATATCGTTTAAATCATCTTAATTTATTTGAGTGGTACAATTCGATTTTAATAACATCAAAAAATATATATAATATATACTCCATATAATATACATCAATTAGAATTTTTTTATTTAAAAAAATATATTATTTATTTATTTATTATGTATAAAGGGATTTTCGTACTTTACCAAAATTAAATGATAAAAATCAGATTTTTCAATAATATGAATATTTTTTTATTAAAACATTTATTTTATCTTTTAATACTAATAATTGTATGTCCCCATGATTTTCTAAGTTTTTATATAAAAAAAGTTTACTAAGTTTAATTGTATAATATTTTTTTACTAAGTTTAATATATTTTTTTCAAATAAAGTATATTAGATATCGTAGTTATATACAAATGATTATTTTCGTCAATAAAATTTAAAAATTTATATTTATTCTTCTTATTAAAGTTAGTAGGTCAAAATACCACAGAATATATTTTGATTAGTACATATTTTCAACGACTCTTAAAAATGGAACAACATTGATAAATTTTAATAGTTTAAGAGATAAATACATTTTAAAAAATTATTTAAGGTTTACTTCGGTAAAATTGGTATACTTTTAAGGTATAAATAAATTTTAAAGTAATTTAAATATGTAAAATAATATTCAAATAAATATGTATGTGAATCTTTTCTTTTGAACTGTCGAGTATGAAATAATAATCGTATATATTATTTAAAATTGTATAATGATAATATGATAGGGATGCATATAAGACTCAAATTCGACGGATTTCGACCTGATTCAATCTTATTGGATCAAATTTTCTTTATAAAAAAATCGAATCTAAGTTAGACTTCAAGTGGAATGTATCCTTTTTTCGAATCGGGTCATGTTGACCGAAATCTAACTCAATCCAACCCATTCTCACCCCTAGTTGATGGGGCTTCAAAATCTTCAATTCATAGGCGTAGGACATATAAATATGTTATAATGTTTTATTATATTTACATTATTAACTATAATGTTTAATATTATAGATTATAATATTATTTAATTTAAAATATAAATCACCCTTTTAACTATTTCCATTATATAAAAATATCATTTTATATATTATTAGTTAGATTTTTTACAAATATATAAAAATTAGAATACAAATTATAATGTGTTAAAATTATGATATTAAATGAGATATGAAAAAAGAATATATGAAAATTAGACCATAATCCGTACAGTTCCCGCTCTGAAAGCAATATTTACAGCAAATATGATTAGAGGTGATTTGCCTCCCAAGTCTAACCAAGTCTAATGACACTGGTTTCAGATTGCTCGTTGCTGCTGCTGTCATTATCTTAAGTCCAACAGCGGACCCTGTAAAACTCACCCAAAAAAACCCACTATTTCTTCATCAATGTGTAACTTCATCTTAAAATATGAAAAACATGGTGCCAGTACCGGGGCAGCTTTAATGGAAAACATGCTAGTGGGGAAATTTCAGGGAATGATACTCCAATGGGTTCCCTCAGAGTGTAGCCTTGAACTCCCTTTAACAATTTTAGGACTGTTCCATGAATTTTATCGGCTGCACCTGCATAGTAACGAAGAATCATTGCTGCACCCGCCATGTCTCTGACCTTGCCCGCATTAATGGTATCCACTGCAGCTATTTCTTCTTCAGTTAAATCTGCAAACTGCATCATTATGGTTCCTCGCTCCTGTTATCCAAAAGAAGAATGACCGGCAAGCAAATGTAAATATTTTGGCATATGAATTTGTATTGCATGTATTTGATAAAGTTTTTTAACCAAAGTAACTTCAAAAGAGCTCAAATTGAATAACTGACATTTGGTAGGGACTAAAATTAAATAATTGTCCATTTTCGTGTTGCATTTAGGGAGAGGTTTCGAGACTTTGTGGTTTAAGAATAGATGTTACAGCTTGGGGACGGGAACTTGCTTGGGCTGCTTCTTGTTTGAAGGGGAGGTCCTTGTTGGTTGTCATTTTAAAATTTGCTTGGTGTGCTCATAACTATTATGTTTGGGAAGACAGGAATTTTTGCCTATTCAGGAGGTAGATCTCGAACCGTGGAGACTATAAAACAGGTTGTTAGGGTGAAGGTTAGCAGCAGTCGATATAATTACTCGAACGTTGTAAATAATAGGCTTTGTATAGAATGAGATATTCCCTAAAAAATTTATTGGAGATCTCATTTACTTTGTAACTTCGTAGCAGTCTTCTGCTTCTTGAGCAATACAATTGAAACTTATCCAAAACAAAAAAAAAATTCTATCGCTAAATT